CAAAGGCCATTGTAGTCCAACATCCTCGTTCTCACTATGGCCAACCAGATGGATTGGGGAAGAGCCAAAGTCAACAGTCATCTCTCAGTTGTTCTCCAGCAATTAGTGTATTCAGAAGCACACTCTGTGGTCCTGGAAGCAGCATATAGCTGTTAAAACTAGTAGCCATGGATAGTCTTGCCTCCCGAAGTATGATTGCCATATCTGTATTAGCAAATTTAGAATTCTGGGCTTTTAAATCTGTTTATAGCAATTTATTGTCTGAGGTGGTGTGATGTTTGTGGTTAGTATATTGAATTAGCATCAGTGACCCAGATTCAAATTCGTTCAGCCACTGCATGATCTTCTGCTGCTGTCTCTCAGGCTACAATGTTCTTGTTACGTGCCATCAAATCGGGATTAGTTTATAAAGACCCTAACAGAGTTTTCAAGGTACGTGAGGTATTTAAAGAATGGTTTTATGAGCTCTGCTTCCCCAGTGAGTTCCCATGGCTCAGTGGGGATTTGAAATGTTCTTCAGAGTCCTAGTCCATCACTCTGTTCACTTCACCACACTGGGTATCCCAAGATATGACAGGTGAAGGTAAAAGTGCAGTGTTTAATTCTCCCATCTGTATATTGTTCTCCTCCATTGTTTTAATTTCTCATTTTCCCCCAGTTGTTCTCTGAAATCGTTTTCTGAGAAAACCACAAGTAGAAGAGTTTTAGGAAGAAATGTAAGCACTGGGAATCACCACCCTGCTTTGCGTGGGGCATCTTAACCATCCCGTCCCTAGTTACTTTGTCTGGTCTACATGTCTAGCCAATAGTCTCATTCTCATCTATTTCACAGTTTTCTCAAAGTTTGCCATTCTTTACAGGGACTTCAGGCAACTCCTGTTCTAACACAGATTTTTGCCACAATCTTCATTACCTTGACCAGTAGTTAAAACATTTATCATGGACATATCTTATAAGGTTTGCACGTAAGGGCATGCCTAAATCTTCATTTCCCACCAGTCTGACTGCCATAGAATCACAGAATAATAGTGAATTTGGAAGGGGTCTATGAGGCCATCAAGTCCAACCCCCTACTTGATACAGGAATACAAATCAAAGGATATCTCCCAGGTGGTTTTCTAAGTTTCTCCTGAATGCCTCCTGTATTGGTGCCCTTGCCACCTCTCGAGGTAATTGGTTCCACTGTCTTACTGCTCTAACAGTTAGGAAGTTTTTTTCCCCTGATACTCAATTGAAATCTGGCTTCCTGTAATATGAACCCACTGTTGCATCATCCATGCACTCTGGGATGATTGAGAACAGATCCTGCCCCTCCTCTGTATGATAGCCTTTCAAGTATTTGAAAATTGTTATATCACCCCTCCATCTTCTTTTCTCAAGGCTGAACCATTGCTTCTCCCTTAGCAAGTAATTCCCACAACTGCTGTTCAGTGAGGGTGCCGAGATGTCTTTGAAGAGTTCCTCAGCCTGCAGTGCTGCCCAATACGACAACTCTTAAACCATTTTGTTCACACTGCAGCTACACCATTGTTCTATAAAGTATTGTTGCTGCAGTCTCCTTGGAGGGATCCCCAGCTTTTGACCAAGGTGTGACCACAAAGGGAGGGCAATGTGAATTAACTCAGTCTTTCATCATGAAGTCGCATTGCGGCATTCGGTTCTCTCCGATATAAGCGGCCACAGAACCAGAGGGGATTAAACAACAGCCTTCTACTTACAGTTCCATTTGAAGTGCCTGTAGGTGGCGCAGTTGAAAGGAACTCCTTTGCCAAGACTTTCCCTCAGTTCCTGAAGCTGTTAATAAATAAATAAACAGGATTGCCCACAGGAAGGCTGGGTGGAGGCTGTTTTAAAAAAAGTGTCTTGGATGAGAAGGGCTAGTGGAGAGAGGTGAGGGCTGGCACTGTTTGTGTGTGTGCGTGCATGTGCATGCTTTAGTTCCTTGTCCTCCCTTCAGAGGGAAGGGGAAAGATGCTTTGTCAAAGCACTGCTGTATGTCAGTGCGCATATGATTGCTTGGTCTTTCTATAGAAAAAGTTTTCAGAAACACATTAATTTGATAGGGAACCATAATCATGGTGACTTGCTTTTGCATGTGTGCCCTTGGGCCTGAAAATAATACCCTACTTGCCTATGTCATTGAAACACCGCCCAAAGACAGCCACTTTGGGAGGGAAAAGGACATGACCAATTTGAATCAGCCTTTGTGTCACGTGGTCAGTAAAGATATTTCAAATTCACCAGTTTTATAAGCGGGGCAAATCCCACAAGTATCTGACCATGTAGTTGCACTCTTGGACGCCTGCAACCCCGTTCACAGTCTTTGGTTTGGCTGACTATTTATGTTGTAGTTGCCTCTGATCTGCTTCCTCTCTTCTCAAGATCTCTGCATTGCAAAGCCCAGTAGGATAGTAGAAGTCTTGCCTTTTAGAACTGGAGGAAGAAAGCTTTTCCTTGCACTAAGCAAGAAGAAAAGGTCCTTGGCCTGCTCCAGAGATGTGCAGGATATCAGGCCTTTTCCATCTTTGTCAAGCGGAGGGAGGGCAAGGGGGTTTCTTGTCATACCATCATAGAATGGAGTTGGATGGGGCCACTGAGTACAACCCCTTGCTCAATTCAAGAACCCAAGTTAAAGAGTATCTGACAGATGGCCCTCTAGCTTTCTAATTGATCCCATTGTGGTACTTTATTTAACAGATGGGAAGTTTTTCCTGACATTTAGCCAAAACCTGGCTTCCTGTAACTTGCGTCCTATATAGTCAAAACCTGGCTTCCTGTAACTTGAGTCCTATATAGTAAGCCCGGCACTCTGGAATGACTGAGAACAGAGCCTAGCCGCACTCTGGAATGACTGAGAACAGATCCTAGCTCATCTCTATATGACAATTTTCAAGTCTTTGAAGAGTGCTATCATCTCTCCCCCCTCCCCCCCAGTTTATCTTCTCAAAACTAAAGAGGCCCAAATCTTTCAGTCTTTCCTCACAAAGCTTGGTACGTAGAGCATGTAAAGCCATTCAGAAGATTCTTGCTGTTCCTTACTAAAATGAATGGAGACGTCAAAGCAGCGGTAACGGCTAAATTCCACCCATATGGCAGAGTTCAGCTGAGGATAACACTTGCTAGGTTCCACTGATTTTTAAGGAATAAATTTAAATATGTGTTTAACTCCCTCTTGAAACAGACGGGATTTTAACCTACATGCTTTCCTCACTAAAGGTACTCAGACTTATACTTCAATACACATGTGCAGCAGGACTGCCCTGCAGAAGTGCTTAACGTTTGTCACACATTGTCACTGTACCTTAAAGCAAGAACTTTTTTTTCTGATCAGTAACTGCAGTTTTGGTGGTTAAGATATTATCAGTCTCCTTAAGTGGACAGCTGACATTTTTATTTTAAAGTTTCCAAAGAGGTAAGGCTATACAAAATATCAAGACAGAAATATCAGGTTAAACGCACTTGTATCTGCAAGAAATGAAAGTTAACAATAAATAAATGATATATGCTGTCAATAACTTTATGGAGTGTATAAAATTATATTTTCCTTGTTTTAAACAATAACAAAAACGTACTAGTGGCATGAATATATACAACATCAGTCCTGACATATATTTAAATTACTTTAGCCAGCAGTGCTCAGATTTATTTATCTTTAAATGAAGAAAACTATAATAAATAGAAATGATAAATATTTACAATAAAAGAATATGTGGAATCAGTAGGTGAACACATACATCCAATTTTCACACAGAGGAAAAAAAAATACTAGGCTTTATATTCCCCACCCCCAACCTGAATTTTGAGTAAGCTAGAAAGGGATATATTTTTACCTCCCTAGAATGAATGAACATGAATTATATGCATACTCAGGTGGCCTGTTGACAGAGACATTCAATTACGTGTATGTATTTTGGTTCCCATAAGTAAATCTGACTTCCTACCAAAGATATAACTAGAGAAATAACTAAAGCTCAAGTTAGACTCTAAGTGTGTAGGATAGATCTTTTGGCCTATCTATGGGCAACAATGTTATCATAAAATGGTCATTATTACTGCCTTTCCAATCAGACCATGTAAAAAATATTTTAGATTATAAAGGGAAGCATATATTCCTCCTTATCCATTTAGTTGCTTCAGTGGTTGCTGTAGGACTGTGAGTAGTCACTGCTCAGCACAATCACTGAAGGTGTACTAGTTAGAAATGATGTTAACTATAATACTCCCAGCTGTACAAATGGTACAGCCTTCTGACTGCCTTAACTAAGAAGAGATTCACATCATGTTATTCCTTCTCCTGCCCCTTGTGGAAATGAATTCATCAGCCAGTGTAGTATCAGAGTTGACTCTGCATACACAAGACATAGGAAAACATAGACCTATTGTGATATACCAGTACTTGGCGATGCCCTTACAGATCTGAGTTCTAGATATCCAAAATAGCCTGGACTGTGCCCTCCTTTCATAATGCTTGACCTTCCTCTTGAATGTGAATGGTAAAAACATTATTGGTGCACTAGGATTATTTAGTGAATGGGGTGATATCTCAAAAGTATTGCCTCCTGAGTAATCCTAGCTCATGATAGTTATACTTAAGCAGTGTGAAGAATGAGTTTCCCATAATTAACTTGATTAAATCATTAGAGAGCTTTGCTTATCCTTATTCATTATAACTTCTTTGGTGCACCACACATAGATCTTCTGAAGTCCAAACCCAGCAGCCTGGTTTCCAACAAGACAGAGAAATAATCTATTGTGTTATTTCTCTGGCTTGTTGTAGGAGAGACAATCCAGAATGCTGGGCTCAGATTATCAGGATAAGCAAGCTGTGGATAGAGGAGTTGAGGTTTATTTAGATACTTCCACTTGCACTGGGAGTTAACATGTTCAAAGTGAGCCAGATTCCTAAGGCTTCCCATGGTGTATTAGCCCAGCCCATCAGCCTTAGAGGTTCTGATTTCAGATAGAGAAGACAGGGAAAATATTTATTTTGCTGATTGGTGTTTTTTTTTTTTTAAGTACCACCGGTCTTAACTGGCACCCATACCATTTCATTTAAGGAAAACCAGTTTAAGTTAGAAAATGTGTTGAAAAAGGAAGCCAGTACGATACTGAAGCAACAAAGAAAGTCCAAGCACCTTGTCCAGAAACCAGTTCTGCAATCAACGGATTTTTCTAAAGAAATTGGAATAGCATAGAGAAAAGGACCAACTGTAGGCCACAGAAATCAGTACAAGGGACACTTAAGGCAGATGGTGTTACCTAGCAAGAACAACAGCTCAGAGAAACTGTTTCGTTTGTGACTACAAGGTTCTCCCTATCCATTTCAATACTTTCTACATTAGTTTCCTCAGAAACAAATAAGCAAGTCCATTTGCAGCATTTACTACTTCTTAAGGGAGTGGAACCCAGATAACTTTCTACCCAGAGATTAAATACTGAACCTAGTCAAAATATTGAGCCTCTAGTGGAGGAACAAAAATTTAGACATCTATCCCTGATAAAAACAACAACAAAAATCCAAACCTGCATTTAATCTCCATTTTTTCCTCTTTTTAGAGACGGAAAGATCTAAATGAAGGTATTTTGTTGCACCTACACATTGAATTTGTGGGATACAATCAGTAACAAATAGCCATTGCTTTTCCTCTGTTACCTATAAGACCTACATTGTCACTGCCACATTTCCCGCAATGCCCTATGCCTGACACCACCCCTCTATATCGTAAATATTCTGGAATGCCCCTAGATAAGAAGATGAACTCAATGGAGGAAGTTTCTGGAGGAGGGGGAAGGAAGGGCTGTCTCCTCCTTTCACCTTCGGATGTCAGAGAAGTCAGACAGTTCTTCTGTCTGCTCAATGATCCCGTGAATAGCTCTGGGATTTTGGCCGGCAGCTTTAATACGAGTATGGGCATTTATCGGAAGCCTACTACCTCTTTCCCCTCTGGTGTTTCGGGATCTCTCTCTGGTGTCAGATGCAGGGTGAACAACAATGTCCCCTTGACTAGCAGAGGACCCGCCAGAGACTTCATTTTGCTTTTTTTCTGGTTCCAGAGTAGAATCACCATGTGGGACTGAAGTGCAGAAACTCAGAATGGAGCACAGACTCCCCCAGTTCTGTTCACACTGGGCCTGGACACTCCGTGTGATGGCCTCTTTGACTTCCTCTCCGCAAGTCAGCAAGATGTTCACTAAGTCGACGTATGGTCTAAGGGAAATATGAAGGAAGAAGCATATGAAGTTTATAGAAGAATGGCAAGGATAAAGGCCCACAACTGCATGGAGGGGCTCCAGGTCTGTACAGCCAAACAAGATGAGGGCAGCCCAATCTTAGGTACCGTATTTAGTTATTTAACTGCAGTTTCTTATGACCTCTATCTTAGTTCCAAGATTTAAGATTAGCTGTTGAAAAGAAAACAACAACAACAGAAAATGTCTTTGTATATTTATTGACATGGATAGCGCATGGATCCTAGGGCTGTGCATCTTGGAGTTACTATTTCTACAAAACTAATTGTTTTTAAATTAAAATCTGTAGGCTAAAGTATCAGCTCCAATCACTATGTGGCAGACTTCTCAAACAATCAGAGAGGGAACTGCAGTCAGGTCATCAATGTTCAGAGAGGCATCTAGGCAACTCTATGTGGTTATTCTTTCTGCTGGGTTCCTGAATTGCCCAAATAATCGAAAGGGGGTGAGAGAAAGTGTGGGAGGAGGCATTGCTGCCTAATAGAGTGCAGAAAAAAAAGATGGTGCACAGATGGCAACGCTGGACGAGTGTCTGGGTAGAAGGTGAGCCAGAATAAAGAGGACAGAAAAAAGAAAAGGTAAGAGAACGTGAAGAACAGATTCAGTAGAGGGCAAAAGAATGTGCACTGCGCTGGATGATAAATCAAGGGAAAAATATATTATGAGAGAGAAAACACATGAGGGTAGATGGGTGGGAGAAGAATGAGAGAAACATAGGTGGGTCAGAGTATCAAAGTGGCAGGGATATTGTTGCAAAGCTGCATATTTCTGTTAGTAAATTAATTAAAACAACAACAACCAGTAAACAGAATTAATAAAACTATTAACTGAAACTTATGAAACAAGAGGAACAAAATTCAGTGGAAACAATTACAGTTCTAAAAATTGTAAATAGCCTGGCAAACATTTGCTAATACATACAGGCTACAAGTACAAAATTAATAAATGCAGATGCCTGCCAGCCTTTTATGTTGCTGAAACTGCATCTTTCGAACTAAAGGCAGTGGAGCTTCATCAACGTTTGCTCTGGAGAGAAGTGTATGTACTGACAGAACTGTGTCTTTTGTTTTAAATCCTGATCACTCAATGAAATCTGATTTAGCTTTCTTTGCAATACAGAGGTGAGTAATGTCTAACTCTCCAAAAGTTGTTGCAAATAAGCCTTGACTGAAATCTTTCAATGGTGAAGAATTAGCCATCCCTGTTTTAACTCTTTCTGCAGCCAAGCATCTCACGTTCTCTCTCTAGCTTTTTCCATTTCAAACTGATAGGTCAAGCCCGAAGTTCCCTCTAAGCTGCATGGCTGCGTGAGTGCAACTCTGCTCCCCTCAGCGCAGCGTTCCTCCTCTTCCTCCTTCTCCATGCACCCACCATGAGTTTTTCCAGCTGCTTTGGTTCCAGTTGTGGCAGAACCCACAACTGGAACCAAAGCAGCTGGGGAGAGTCACACTCACAAGGGGCTGAATATTAAGAGGGAACGTTGGTCAAGCCTGATCCACCCTTTGGGATTCATTGTCCTAGGGCAGGGGTCAGGGACCTTTTTTACCTTTTACCCCCCAAAAAATTTATATACGCCGACATTACCCCCTTGGAAAACTCAGCAGTGGCCAGAGGATTGGAGTCTACATCCCAATCCCAAAGAAGGGAAGTGCCAAAGAATGCTCCAACTACCATACGATTGCACTCATTTCACACACGAGCAAGGTTATGCTCAAAATCCTACAAAGTAACAGCAGTCTGCTCATTACCCCCAGGATTTTCACTTTTACCCAATTTGGGGTAATTTACCCCTGTTCCCCAACCTATGTCCTAGGGGAACATCTCTGTAATGAGAGCCAAAAGCTATGATGTCCCTCAGGCCACTTGGTCCACATAAAACATCAAGTTCATTAACTGCTCTCACTAAAGAAAACAGAGCTAACTCATATAAGGCGCAACAGGTTGCCAAGGATGACGACGACAATCATCTTCATCTTAGAACTGCAGGGCTGGGAGGGAACCTACGGATCACAGGGTTCAGTCCCTGTCAAGGAAGAAGAGGATACAGAAACACCTCTGTCTCTTGTGTTAGGGAAGCACTGGGTCAAGGGCAGAAATAATCCATCCAAACACTGGTATATGTAGTAATTTGATGACAAGACTTAGAGCAGCTGAAATCCTGCCATGCAGTCTTGTGTGCACAATGGTGAGTATGTCATCAGCAGTGGCAAATTGTCGCTGAGTAAAAGATCCTCTAGGGCAGTGGTCCCCAACCTTGGGCCTCCATATGTTCCTGGACTACAACTCCCAGAAACTTTCACCACCACTTCTTCTGGCCAGGATTTCTGGGACTTCAAGAACATCTGGAGGCCCAAGGTTGAGAACCACTGCTCTAGGAATTTCAAAATGAACATGACTTGACTTTTCATCAACAGTGATTTGCCATTAATCAGAAATTTGCCGCCGTTGTTGGCATCACTACTGTTGTGTACGTGAAGCTGGGTAAGAGGATTTCACCCAATGAAAGTTACACATCTTTGCACCTGGGGAATCTTTTAGAAATGTTCAAATCAGATTTGAGGAGGAAGTGTGTGATTTTGACTACAGCTGGACAAAATACTATAGATAATGATAAGGGTTTGTGTTGGGGCGGTTGTGATCAGATCGCTTTCAATCAGTTCTTTTCTATTATGATTACTGATATCAACTCCTGTGGCAAAAACGTAACACTGTTCCTGTATGATCTGTGTTATGAGAATGTGTGTATGAAATACGTGTTTGCAGAGATTCTCTCCTGACTCTGACAGTACTGTAACTGGGGCTATCTTGGGAAAAGAGCAGGGAAGTCTCGAGATAGGCTGCATCCAAAGTCTTCCCAGCCTTTTGTCCTGCTTCCAGTGCGGTGGTGAAATGGGAATTTAGACCTTAATTACACTAACCATCATGTTTTCTTCCCAGTGTTCATGAGAGAAATCCCGAAAGAATCCAGGAGGAAAGGAGCGGCATATACCACTCCCTTTTTGCTTTCCCTCGTGACTGGCCTTAGATGGTGATCCGAGACAACAAGATTGCCCTGGGTCTTGTAAAATAATTAAGAGCAATTTTAAAAATGCTATCATAAAAATAATCACGTCAATTCATTCTGAGCAGAAGGGCTTGTTTCCAAAAAGATGAGCTAAATCATATTAGCATGTGCTAATATGTATGTGATCCAATATATTAAATTGAGGATCACATGGTACTGCTTTTTTCTTGTTTTAACTTGAGAGTTCATTATCTTTTAACAGATTAGCTTTTCTCTCCTTACTTGAATTGCTATGTAATTGTTTGACACAGACTGTGAGCTTCTTCTACGAATCAGAAGAGGCAAATATAAGATTATACTGCACGACTGTACTCTTAGAGCAGCTTTAAAAGAGTTTAAAGAGAAAATAAGCCAGGTCCTATGACAGTTCACTGTGGGCATGGGCTGGCCAAAAAAAAATTCCCACATGTGTGCAGAACACTGCCTTCATGGGGCATGCCACAATTTTATTTGGGGAAAACAAACAAATTTATAAACTGAACTTTTGTTTTTCTTCACCAAGACCTCTAAGATATCAGCAGCTGATAAACTCAAAATCGTGAATGGCTGTCTCTTGAGGTTCAAACTGGAACTGCGTGGTTTACAGCTGGGAAACACATTTTGCTAAGATGTTCTGTGGGTTGTAGTAAAATAAACATTGCTTGGGGGATTCTGGGAATGGCTGGATCACCTCATAATAAGCACTAGAAATATTAAATGTGGCAGGGATACAGAAATACCACTGATTCTCCACATTAAATAACTGCATAGGCTATATTTCAACTGACTATGATGATCGGGAGAACTTGAGAACAGTACTGCAAAGAAGTTACATTTCCATCTCGTGAGTACAAGGATGAGTGTAGTGATTAAGAGGAGTGTGGGGAGACAAAAACTTGGGGTCAAGTGAAGAAGATACAGCAAGCGTGTGAGTTTCTAACCCTGGTACAGGCTGAAGGGGTACGGAGCTAGGACAGAGAAGGGAAGGGAAGGGGAGAACGAGATCAATGTAAAAAAAAGGAATTGGGGACAGGTGGCAGGAAAAAAAAACAGTGCTACAACGAGGACAAGACTCATAGGTTTTTGACTCCGACAAGGCTGAGTTTGTTTGCTAATAAATAATGCAAAAAAGGAAGAGGAAGTTTTCCTCTCTTTTTAGAAGAATGCTGGTAAAATCATTGGAAATTCTGGTGCTTGCTTTTGTGGAGACCACACATCTAGATAGTTCAAGGAGTTAGGTATGTGGCTGTGGAGCCAGAGGTTCAGAGTTCAGTTTCTTGCTGTGCATCTCCCCAGAAGGGCCAGCCTGTTGGCCTTGGCCAAGCTGCACAGTCCCAGGGCTCCCCCCCCCCCAAGGAGAAGTAGGGAAGGGCAAATCACTTCTGGGTACTCTCCACCTAGAAATCCTATGAAAGGATCACCATAAGTTACAATTGACTTGACGGCACACCTTTTTTTCCTGCTTCTCAACAAAGCAAAAACAAAAAAAAATCCTGTATCATATGCTAAGATTTGCACAGTCAGCCGTGGAGGCTGCTTATCAGGCTTCTTGTAGCTCATCATCCCAGTCTGTGAGCTGAGCATAACATAGCCAATATTTTCCTGCAGCTGCACATTATAGGGCAAGTTTAGTGGTGATGGGCAACCTATCTACCATTTCTGATCTTCTTGTTTAAGAGCTCTAGATAAGCTTCTGAGTAGCTACAGGGATCCCTGTAACATAGTTTGCAAACCACTGATATGAGGCACATTTAACTAGCATGAACTTGAGAGTTGCACTTATCTCATCCAACATGCAACAGGCATTAGACTTTCTGCTCCAAGGCAAATAACTCAAGAACATTGTGTTCTAGTGCAGCACAAAGGCAGTACCCTTGCTGCACCTGGCACCATTCCATCATCCGGGAAGGTAGGGA